GGTTTACTCTCAGTTCGTCCCAAATTGACTTCTCAATTCGTCCCACAAAGTTATTTTTCTCAGTTCGTCCCATATCAGTTTAACTATTATTTTTAAGTATTTAAGTACTATTATTTTATTTTAACAGTAAATATTACTTTTTGATTTGAGTAGTTTTAACTGCTCTACCACATTTTATAACTAACTCAACTTCATTCAGTATACCAGTAGCAAAGCCATGAAGCAATTCTTCCAGCTTGTTGTCAATATCGAAATATCGTTTGTATCTTTTTGGAACACGAATTTCCGATGCTTCAGCTGATGATACTGGAACGAATGTTCATCACATAACAATCGAACAAATTCATAAATATGAGGATGAACAGGAAAATTACTTTCCAGACGCTTGTTATATCCTTCCACATGATTATTGGTTCGTGGTAAATTATTCTGGATTGCATCATTAACATTCCACGTTTGTGCATCGAACAAATTGATATCTCTATCAACATACGTCTGGACTAAATAATCATTGAATTCTGTTGCACCAGCATGATCGGATGTATATAGATCCATGATCTCTGCCCATGTGCCCTCAATATTGTTGGTGGAACTAGAGCCAAGCCAACAGCTGCTAAAAACCAATGATCAGCTTTTTTCCGTTTACTCTCCGGTATTACATTATTATTGTCATTGGTTTTTTCAAAATGACGCACCATACCAACTTTCTGAATTTTTCTCCACAGCGATTGTGCATGATGGAAGAAACAGCCATTGATTTTGATATGTGGAAAAATATCGACAAAAGAATTTATTGTGGCTTGTTCGAAATCGCAGGTCAGGCGCTGTGGATTCATTTCAACTGTCAACTTTTTACCATATTCGATTAAATGTCTCAATATTTTCGTGTAGACAACGGAATTTTTCCGTGTAGTCAGACAGTATGCACATGGTATCATGGATCCGTTTTGAAAACCGAAAATTATATAAAGTTGTTCAAAGAGTAATGGACGAACTTTGAATGTACCGTCTGAATGCCATAATGAACAAGAGGACAAAGACCGTATGCTCCACTCCGATCCAAATATCATGACCGAATCTGTACCAACTAGTGCAAATAAAGCCAGAAGAATCAGCGATGAGCCATGTCTAACTCTAAAAGGTTACTTACATTTTTTATCGACAAGTAAGAATTCTCCTCCTTCTTTTGATAGCCTCCATAAGCCCGTCAAAGCGATTTCATCGGTAGTTGTTGGCAATCTGGGGTAATTAAGCGCTCTACGACGATAAAGTGAAGCATCAACATTAGGAAGTGTTGGAAAAACATGACCAGTTGCACGACCAGGACTGACAACTCTTGCTCTGACGACCTCTTGTGAATATATCTTTGGAATAGGTAGTGTTTCCTCTCGCACGTTTTTTCATATTATCAACAGCAATATCAATGCGGACTTTGGTGGTATCTGGTTTGTATGTGTGTGCTGATTCATTCCGTAAAATTCTCACATCGTCCGTACATAATGATATTGTACTTGAACATATTCGATCCCGACACCGCCATTGATTATTTGTTTTGTTTGCTCGTTTTTTGGTGTATTGATACCCATTATAATTCAAAACTGGTTTCTCTTTTTCAGTAGACGTGAAAATTAACATTTTGATGAACAAAGCAATTTAAGTTATTTAGATTTAAATTTGTGATACTAGTGCTTAACACAACATATTTTGCCACGTACGCGCGCCTAGTCTTGTGTACAATACCATCGCCGTCGACTAAACTGTTGATACAACACTTTATTTATTTTGAGGCGAGAGCTAAATATCTGGGACGAACTGAGAGGACTCCATGCAAATAGATCATTCGTATTTTAACATGTTAATCATAGTGATAAAAGTCGAACTGACAAAACGAAAAGAAAAGAATACGGTTATCTTTGTTGTTATTATTATAATTCAGACACCAATACTGGTTATGCTGTTCGTCATGTACTCCAAACGTACAGTGTTCGAACCTCGGTAACGCCAGGTGATGTAATAACCGTAGGCAAGTTATCCATGTATTAGTGTCTCGGATTACCCGTTCGACAGCATACTCACTACGTTGTGACGTACAATATAGTTCCTCGGCCTAATCCGCGTAGCTTTTCGGAAAGCTAGTACGTGGTTTGTGAGTGTGAATGAGTAACTCAAGTAACAGGGCGAAAGAACTCTGCGTCAGGGAACAAACATGTTTCTGGTATACAATGACACTACGTATGCATCAGTTTGTAACTGGTGTTGGAGCATCCAGGAGCATTGCTGTACATCGGTTATCGCAATCCGCTCAGATGCGTCAAACATTCCATTCTGTGGAAAATATTTGCTCTACAAAACGTGTTTGTTAAAAAGTTTCTAAACTCATTTCTGAGAAAACTTCGAGCATTCAAAAATACATTAAATCACGGAAAAAAACTGTTCGAACAGTTTTTTTTCGTGTTTTTGTGCATTTTAGAACGTTCTAAGTTTTCTCAGAAATGATTTTGGAAACTTTTTAACAAATCCATACCCTAAAAACTGGTGCATACCTAAATGGCACCCGTTTTATTGATGGAACTCGCCATCACCTTCGCAATTGTTTATGTATTCATCGGATTTGTAAGGATGAATGTGAATATATCTGGAGTTAACCAAGCACTCCAGCTAGTATCCGAATAACCGTATTTTTTTCTTTTCGTTTTGTCAGTTCGACTTTTATCGCTATGATTAACATGTTAAAATACGAATGATCT